GATACAACTAATACAAAAGATACCAATGTTTCAGGTTCATTTCATGGTGAAATGAACACATACATCTTAATTTCACTTTCTACTGAAATCCATTAAAATTATATTGAATATATTTTATATATGGGGCACCTGGGTGGCTCAGTCGTTAAGAGTCTGCCTTCAGATCAGGTCATGATCAATCCTGGGGTCCTGGGATAGAGCCCTGCATCGGGCTTCCTGCTCAGCGGGGAGCCTGCTTCTCCCTCTCCCACTCCCTCTGCTTGTGTTCCCTCTCTCGCTCTCTCTCTGTCAAATAATAAATAAAATCTTAAAATAAATGTACTTTATATAGACAAATCTAAAGATACCAGGAAAGTAGACAAAAACAACAAATTTTTTTTTTAAGAGAGTGTGCACGCGAGCTGGGGGGGCGGGGGGAGGAAGAGAGAATCTTAAGCAGGTGCCATACCCAGCACGGAGCCCAATCAATGTGGGGATCAATCTCATGACCCTGAGATCATTACCTGAGCCCAAATCAAGAGTCAGATGCCTAACCAACTGAGCCACCCAGGTGCCCCCAAAAGCAACAACATTTTGGGAGTTAACTAGAAAGCTGACTCTTACGCAGTGGTTCATAGATTCCAGAGAGGGCTCAGGAACTGACAACATCAGGTACCTCTGGATCTGGGGGTTTACAGGAATGCTAAAATAATGATGACCGAGTGAAATCTGCATGCAGAGCAACTGAATCCTTAATTCCCCTCCCCAATTCCACACTGCTGGTAAGTGCCCCTCTTACACCCCAGCCAAGGTCTGGAGGTTTAGTCTCCAAAGAGTGAACGAGGTGGCTTATTCTCTGGTTTGGGGAACATCAGGGGCTTCCAAGAGAATGGATACCATACGGATAAAAGGGGTATGAAGTAACCCTATATGAAATAAATATTAGAGGGGCACCTGGGTGGCTCAGTCGTTAAGCATCTGCCTTCGGCTCAGGTCATGATCCCAGGGTCCTGGGATCGAGCCCCACGTCTGGCTCCCTGCGCAGCCAGGAGCCTGCTTCTCCCTCTCCCACTCCCCCTGCTTGTATTCTCTCTCGCTGTGTCTCTCTCTGTCAAATAAATAAATAAAATCTTTAAAAAAAAAAAAGAAATATTAGATGCTAAGATCCTCTCCCACCCAACTCTCTTCTCCTCCACCACTCCTAGTTGCTCTGCCCACCAAGCAGGAGATAAGAAGAATTCCTTCTGGGGTATTTCACTAACCCAAGAGGGAAAATCTAATGATACTAACACCAGATTTCCCAACAAATCCAGATTACTTGTCCTGAGAAGCACAGGCTCCACCCATATGTTCAAAAGTTAAATTCAGGTTTTTAGTTTCCCTACACTTAAGCATGAGCAGAAATCCAAGAAATACCAGATCTCTGAGAAAATCTCTAAATAGGAATACAAAGACAAAATAAAGAAACAGACTTGGAAGAAACAGAAACCTCACTGAAAGGGGGGGGATCTTAAAAATAAAAATATTATCTTCGGACTTGAGACGATAGTAGATACATGAAACAAATATGATTTTTGAAAAACACAATTCAGAAAACTTTAAGACATGATAACAAAAATTAAAAATCAAGAGAAGGGTCAGAAGATAAAATAGTGAGAAAACCTCTCAACACATAGAAGAGAGAGTGAGAAATGAAGGGAAAAATAAGACGACCAGACCAGGAAGTCCAATTCCCATGAAATAAAGATTTCAGAGAGAACAGGAAAAAATGTTGGAGACCAAGTCATCAATGAAAAAATTCAAGAAAATTTCAGAGAACTGAAAAATATTAGTTGTCACACTGCAAAGGCCCACCAAGTGTCCAGAGACAATTTCAGACTTCTGGAAACAAAGGACAGATTCTACATTTCAGAGAAAAAAACAAACAAGTCACAAACAGAAGATGATGAACTAGAATGGATATCAGTCTTTTCACCAGAGCACTGTAGCAAGGAGACAATATTCTAAAGGAAAAATTAACTGCAAGTTAGAAATTCTATCCAAACTAGCAATCAGACATGAGGGCAAAATAAAGACACTTCACACATTTTGCCTCCCACAGATCTTTCTCAGAGCTTAAATTAAAGGAAGATGTGCTCCACTGAAATGAGAGGTAACCAGAAAAGAAGAAAAAAATACAGGAGACAGATCTAGCACAGAAGGACAATGAAAGGACATCCCAGGAAGAGAGCTGTAGAGCAGACATAGGGAAATCAGTCCAGATCACAGTGATGTGATTCAAGAGACAGACATAGGAAGACTGTCATCCATGCGGTCCATGCTTCCACTGTTACCCTCTTTTGAAACCTGAGGACAGAATGCTCTAGGGAAACTGTTCCCATCTGTGTCTGTATTTGGCTGGTGGTGGGCATCTGCTGAAGTGCCAACTCTCCTTTCCATGCCCTGCTGTCTGGACTGGCTGAAGACATTAATTTCACCCAAAGACACGTTCTGGCTTCACTCTACTGCTGAGAGTTGGGAGGTGGGTCACAGTTTGCTTAGTGGTGGAAAACACTGAGCAGATTCTTCCCTCTGTCCACATTCCTGCTGAATGGCCAGTATCTGGTTCACACCAAATGCTCTAACTTTGTGAGCCATATATTTGGCAAGACTCACTCAGAATTTTGCCTTCTCATTTCTTCAGAAAGGGCTCTTCTAAACTTTCTCAATAATTTATAAGATGCTGAAGCCAGGGACTCTGTTTAGCTTACCTTCTCCTAGGAGGCTTCTTCTATGAATGGCAACAGAGCCCTTTCCTTATACAGCTAGACCTGTGCTGGCTATTCACTTTTTCCTAAATTAAATAACATTGTTATGGGGTACATATGCAGGTGGTAAAACCATAAAAAAAAAGTAGGGAGATGATAAACATGAAAGTCAAGTAAGTGGTTACATCTAGGAAACAGCAGGGGACTACAACCAGGAGGGGCCCTCAGAGAGCATCCTTCTGGCAATGTTCCACAACCTGATACCTGGGTACACGTTTTACCATTGTTCTTTAAACTGTTTATACACACAGAAGACTGTGTGTAATACATTTCACAAAGAAAGAGTATTAACTGAAAAAAGGAAATGTAACAAAATTGGGAAATAAACTACATTATATGAAGAAAGATTGAGAGGAATTCTCAAAACTTAGTGTTGTGCTGTTAGGGTAATGAAATCATAGGAGATTTTTTCCTTTATTTTCCCAAACTCTCTGTGAACTGTGTAATTATACTGAATCCATAATATTATTTAAAAAGGAACAAAATGAACAGTTATTACTTATTCACAACATGCAGGCTGGGACCATGGTTACCTTTCTTGCTGCTGTAGTCCCAGCACCTAGCAGAGTGTCTGGAATATAAGAGGGGTTCAAAAAATATTTGTTCTATCAGTGTTTTGTTAGAAAAGAAGGTAGATGTAACTGAGGTTTGATTACCAGATTTTTAAATGTTGCTCAAAAAGTACCATTCTTTTCAACGTTACGTGAATGTTCGTAATTCATGGTTGGTTATATATGTATTTATATCTTTAATTAACAAGGAACAAACGTGGGAAAGCTATATTATATATAGTTATCACGCCTAAAGAAAGCTTTACCATCTGGATTACTATCACAGCACATTCTTTTCAAATGTTCTTATGCCTCATAAGCCCCTATACTGTTTTTATGCCTCATAAACCTAAATCTACTAAGGGACAGCAAACACCAGAATAACCAAACAAATCTTTCATATCATTATTCATTTTAACTGATTTACAGCTAATAGTCTTTTCTGAACCACTAATATGAAAATATTTATAGAATAGAAATGACACCCAGTTGAAATATTAAGGTTAGATTAAAGAGGAAAGATTAATGGGTTTCTTTAATAATTCCTAAAATGTCTATTTCTTAGTAGGCTCTTAATTCAATCCATTTTCTTTTAAACTCCCCTACAATCACTGCAAGTCTAAGTAAAGAAAGAAATGTGTTTTGATTTTGAGATGCTTCAAAGTAAACACTAAAGGCAAAATGCTTTCTACTTAAGTTACATTTTCCTTAAGTCACTTTTAATCTATGCTTTCACTACCTTCACTGACATCAAAATCCTTAATTTGAAATATACATCCTGATGTCAATTCTGAAATTCCGTACTAATGCAAAGTAGTGTCAGTAGTAATTCTAAGTACATAATCCCACAGTAGTAATATTTGACATACATAGGTTTTGAACCAAATTTCCTTTTCAAATTAACATCACAGATTGATTGCTAAAATAAATGAAGACACGGTAATTAGATGAACTGGAAATGCTAAAGACTGGCCTAAAATTAAAAATCATAGATTAGTATTTCTCAAACTTTAGTGTATATATGAACACATGGGGATCTTATTAAAATATAGATCTGGTCCTCTAAGTTTGGGGTTGGGGGCTGAGATTCTGAACTTCTAACAAGTTCTCCAGCAATGGTGATGCTACTAGTCTTCAGACAATATGTTCTTTTTCCAGTTTTACTCAGGTATAATTGACAAATAAAATTGTAAGATATTTAAAGTGATCTGATATATGTATACATTGTAAAAGAATTCCCACATCTAGTTAATTCAGACCACACTTTTAAAGTAAGCAAGGCTACAGACCAGGGGACTGCAACGTATGGCCTTTGGGGAAAATCTGGCCTCTGTTTTTATAAATAATATTTCGTTGGAACCCAGCCTTGCCCAGGCCTACATGTTATCTATGGCTGCTTTCATACTATAAAGGCAAAGCTGAGTAGTTCCAACAGAGACCTGTGTCCACATAGCTTACAGAAAATGTTTACTGACCTCTGTTATAGATAACACCCAAAATGTACTATCCAACATGGGAAGTAAGAGTAAAGCAGAAGTATCAAAGTTTTTCATGGTTTTCTGGGATTATATTCTTTTCTTTAGATTCTCCAGTTCTGTACACCAATGGACCTCTTTTATTTGTACAGAAACAAGATTATAGGTGTTTACTTGCCATGTGACTTCCTGCTGCACAAGATAATTGTCACATTTTTTATGAAATAAGAAATGTTGATCAAGGGCGCCTGGATGGCTCAGCTGGTTAAGCGTCTACCTTCAGCTCAGGTCATGATCTCAGGGTCCTGGGATTAAGTCCTACATCGGGCTCCCTGCTCTGCAGGGAGTCTGGTTCTCCCTCTGCCCCTCCTCCCACTCGTTCTTTCAATCTCTCTCTCAAATAAACAAATAAAATCTTAAAAAAAAAAGAAAGAAAAGAAAGGAAATATTGATCAAGAGACTAAGAAACCAGGGGCACCTGGCTGGCTCAGTCCGTGGATCTTGGGGCTGTAAGTTCGAGCCCCCACGCAGAGTAGAGAGATGACTTAAAAAATAAAATCTTAAAAAAAAATAAATAAAAGAGATTAAGAAACCAATTAAAGAATAAAAAGCCCTGACAACATTAACAATTACAGGTCGTCCTGACCTACTGATCGCCATAGCCAGTTATCCTGTTACTTACTCTCGTTAAATCCATGCCCAGCTTCAGCTGTGACAAGAGATGCAGGATGACACTACGTTGTTCTTCCACAGCTCCCAGGTCATCCTCCTTGTTGTCACATGTATCCTCTACCTCATCATCTGCATTGATTTCTTCAGGTTCCTTGAAGTCAAACAAAGCAAAAGTCTAGTGTTATAAGTGCTTATTAATATCCATTAAGAATAAAAGTCTTGGGGCACCTGGGTGGCTCAGTGGGTTAAGCATCTGCCTTCAGCTCAAGTCATGATCTCGGGGTCCTGGGATTGAGCCCTACATCAGGCTCTTTGCTCAGTGGGGAGTCTGCTTCTCCTTCTCACTCTCCCTCTGTGCTCTCTCTCTCTCAAATAAATAAATAAAAATCTTAAAAAATAGTAGAAGTCTCTTTTCTGTCACTGTTTCTTTGTGCAAGAAGACTCTTTATGTTTTCTTTCTTTTCAATACAGAAATCGAATTAAACAGCAAGCTTTGCAAACAACAGATAGGACAGACTTCGTTGCTAATTAAAGGACAGACTTCACAGCCACATTAAAAAAAATAAGTATAAACAGCAGACTTGAAGACATTTATATTGGGCCTAAATGAATCTGGGAATGAGCAAAAATCTTTCTAAAAATATAACTTCCATCACTTGGCCATGAAACAGATTTCCTTCAATGAGTCCATTATCATTTACATTGAACATACTGTGGTTTTGCCATAAAAATAATATATAAAATACATATATTTTGTAAACATGGGATTTTTCAAAAAGAGTGAAAAATGTCTCATCTGAATCTCAGGCTTTGCAGGATTGGCCACCTGTCTGGGGATACCACCAACACCTGTAATTTAAGTTGAAGATGCTTTGGGAATAAAATATTTGCCCCCCTCTTTTTAAAGATTTTATTTCTTTATTTGAGAGAGAGAGGGGGAGAGAGAACACGAATGGGGGGTGGAGCAGAGGGAGAGGGACAAGCAGACTCCCGGCTGAGCAGGGAGCCCAATGCGGGGCTCAATCCCAGAACCCTGGGATCATGACCTGAGTCGAAGGCAAATGCTTAACCGATTAAGCCACCCAGGTGCCCCAATATTTGCCCTTTTTAAAAGCTAAAACTAGGGACACCTGGGTGGCTGATCAGGCATAAAATCAAGAATGTAATGTTCTCAAATATTAAAAATTATTAAAAACAAAATATAAAACACAGCAACAGAATTAAAGAAAAATGGGTTTCTGGTCATTCTTTTGTCTTTGTTTTTCTTCTTTTTCTTCTTCCCTTTTACCAAGGAAATCTACTATGCTCAAATTCTGATAATTTAATTAATGGTCTAGTTCATTTCCTCATGTTAAGACCACACAGACAGCTATTGTTTGTGTATTTCAGAATTACTTCTGTTTTTACAACCTTAAAGAGAGATCCCAAAGGCTTTCTAAATTCCCCTTTTCATGAGACTGTCAGGAAGTATTTCCTGTTGCTTACTCTAAATCAGTTGTACAAAATAGTCTAGTAAAGTTTAAGTATACTTGTGAATGCTTATTTACTATACAATGGGGGAAAAGTTGATCATCCTCCTCTCTACATAGGATACCAAATATAATAATTACTCATTTGAGAAATGTTGAGAAAACCCCTATTAGGTCTTGATTAAATAACGTTCTCCAACCCTCTGAAGAGATACCATTACATCTGGAGTCAGAACCTGGGACACAGATTAGTAATATGAATATAACCTTAACATTACTACATAATACAAAGTTTACTTCGTACTTTGGAACTTCTTTTTTTTTTTTTTTTTTAAAGACTTTATTTATTTGACAGAGAGAGACGGAACACAAGCAGGGGGAGTGGGAGAGGGAGAAGCAGGCTTCCTACAGAGCACGGAGCCCGACGTGGGGCTCGATCCCAGGACCCCGGGATCATGACCTGAGCCGAAGGCAGACGCTTAACGACTGAGCCACCCAGGCGCCCCACTTTGGAACTTCTTCTAATGAAAATAATATCAAAGAAGTAAAACAATCTGGTAGAAAAATATTTAAAAGAGTACAGTTCTTGTTGTTTTTACAAAAATAGTCATATTGTTTATTGGGATAGAAAAAAGAGGAATTCTATTAATTAATTACTGATTCTAAATCTTGGTGTGAACGGAAGAATTTGGAAGCTCTCTTTTCTTTTTGAAATGTCTCTTCTTAGAGGTCATCATCCTTTTTGTAAAGAAAAGCTCAAGGTAAAAGCATTACCAAAATTCAAACGAATGGCGCGAATGCGTAATATCCCTACAAACCCAGAATGGTTAGCAGACAGTGGCAAGAGCTGTTGAGTTTCTAGGAATTTATAATACTTGGACATTGCATGGCAAAGGGAAACCCCAATATTCCACCAAACTCATACAAACCCCATCTTTGTCCTTCTGATTTCTGACTTGGGCACAAAGGAACTGTGGACTTCATTCTAGCCTTACTAGGGTTTAGTTTTTCCATCACCTGGCAGCAAAATCTCTCCTACTAGATGTCTGTCTCCAGCTTGCATTAACACTCATATTTCAAAAAGGCATGTGTGAAATTTTTAGAAAATTCAGGTTCATTCTGATATGCTTGAGTAGAGTCTAGTGTCTTTGTAATTAAAAATAGTATCTGTGCGCTTATTTCTTAGTACTTACACTAGGTGATATATCTGGCCTACTCACTATTTCAAAAGATTTAGAGGGTGCCTGGGTGGCTCATTTGGTTAAGCGTCTGCTTTAGGCTCAGGTCATGATCCCAGGAGTCCTGGGATCAAGTCCTGCATCGGACTCCCCAAATCTGCATCTCCCTGACTCTCCCCTCTTTCGTGCTTTCTCTCTCTCAAATAAGTAAAAAAAAAAAAAAAAAAAGATTTGGAAATATAACAATGTTCTCCTTCCCATCTCTGTGTCCCACCTTTAACTTTTGCCTCTCTAACCCCCAACATGCTTTGTATTCTCACTGAGAAGAGTGAAGATGTTGGAGTATATGACTTAGAGTTTGTAATTTTCACTTGGAAATTGTATCTCTCGTCCTGATCTCTCTCCAAAGCTTTGGTTACACTGGGTAGAGAGATTACTTAAAAATACACTTTAAAAATTCAACATGTCCATAAACCATGCCAAACCTTTTCTCTCAAAAGGCTCTTTCTTCCTAATTTTCCTACCTTTGTGAATGGTACCACAATTCTACCTAGTCATTTAGGTTCACAAACTTGGGAATTATCTTTCATCCAACCCTCCAACCAGTTAATCACAAGTCCAACTGATTTTCATTTGAAATGCACATTACCTATTCATTTGTCTTCATTTTTATCTCCATAGCCTTCTATCGACACTCCTTTCTTTCTTTCTCTGAATGCCCATATCCCAACAGCCTAAACTATATTAACTAAGATGGAAAAAAAAAAAAACTACTACTTCATGTTATCTTCTCATTGTCTCAGTGTACATGTAATTGTTGTGACTCCAAGCAGATTAGTAAATCTCTCCAGTGAAAGAACTACGTCTTCGATTTTTTGTGTCTCCTCTAATTCCTAACATTGGACTTGTCATACACTAGACAACTTAATAAATACTAACTGCTTGACTCTAGAAATGGGCTGGTCAAAAGTTACAGGAGAAAAAAAAAAAAAGCATTTCATACTGTTTTTTTCTTCTCTCCTATCCACACTGCTGTCATTGTCTGCCTCATTAAGTCAAGGTCTTGGCCAGTTTTCGAAGTCTTTGTGTCATGTACTTCTTCTTTTTTTAAAGATTTATTTATTTATTTGGGGAGGGGAGGGGGAGAGAGAGAGAAACTCAAGTAGACTTCCTGCTGAGCACAGAGCCCAGCAGGGGACTCGATCTCACAACCCTGAGATCATGACCTGAGACGAAATCAAGAGTCAGACGCTCAACCAACTGTCTTTGGCTCAGATCATGATCCCAGCGTCCTGGGATCGAGCCCTGCATCGGGCTCCCTGCTCAGCGGGGAGTCTGCTCCTCCCTCTCCCTCTGCCCCTTCCCCTGCTTGTGTGTGTGCCTCTCTCAAATATATAAAATCTTAAAAAAAAGAGAAGTAATTTGCTAATATATATAAATAACCATACGCTGTGCATTACTCTTGACTCAGTAATTCTACTTGGGACTATAACCTAAAGAAATAATCCAAATTAAGAGGAGAAAAAAAACAGTAGACAAGATGACATAGTGTTATTTATAATAACAAAAAATAACAAAGAGCCTAGATATTTAATAACTTAATAAGTAAGTTTGTTATAAAAATTCCGTTTAAAATTTTAATTATATAGGCCAGACAAAATGCTTATGAGAAGTATCAAGTAAAAAGAGCTTAGAATAGAACGATCTATGTAATGACCATAAAAAAAAAAAACAAAAGGCAAAAGATCAATGATTTTTTACAGTGGTGGAACTATGACTAGAATAAGACATTCTTTAGCTTCTGAGAAATGCGGAATAAATAATACTTATAAAAATATTATAAAACCCCGAGACTATGCTATTTTGAGTAACAAAAAAAACTGGTTTGGTAAAGTTCTTAAAACAAAGAAAACTTCATAGTAATTTTTTTTTTTTTTAATTTATTTGACAGAGAGACACAGTGAGAGAGGGAACACAAGCAGGGGGAGTGGAGAGGGAGAAGCAGGCTCCCTGCCAAGCAAGGGAGCCCGATACAGGGCTCAATCCCAGGACCCTGAGATCATGACCTGAGCCGAAGGCAGACGTTTAACGACTGAGCCACCCAGGTGCCCCTTAATAGTAAATTTTTAAACTTGTAAATTTAATAGTAAGCATCTAATAATGTTAAATTAAGATTTAAGAAGAAATGTAAGAGAGAAATAGTGTGCAAATAATCTTATATGTTATTCTCTAGAAAAATAAAAATATGTAAATTACAACTTTTAAATACAGTTTTATCCAGCAAAAGTAAGCCCAAACTAAAAAAGGCACATAACTTAACCTGCAAAACACAATGTGTACAAGTATTATACAACAGACCTCTTCTAAAGCCAGTGCTGTTTAAATTAGAAAAACAATGGCTAGAGTCTCAAGAATGTTGTGCTGGTGTTAGGATGACTTGCATGCCCTGACAATGAAAAGAGAACTGAACCTTTTCAGTAATTCCTAGTTTTTATATCAAAACCGTATTTTCACATTACCTTACCCTTGCTAATGGTCCAGATTCTTCAACACACTGCTCTTCTGGGACCGCCACTGGTTTACTTTGCTCAGTTGCAAAAGGCTGGTCAGCTCCATTTTTATAGTGGTTTGATAAAGGTATCTTTGGTTCTAACCACTCGATTGTCGTTCCTGATGAAGTAAGAGAAAACTTTCGCTGAAACTTGTTCATAATCTGGAAAGTTCAGCAGATGTGGATTTTATTAAACAATTTTGCTTTGCGCCCACAAGACTAAAAGCAATTCAACCTGTTGAGACTCTGCAAAACAGCCACTTGTATCTCATTAGCATGAGCACCATGATTGGGTATTTTACAAGAGAGCAACTTGTAACTTGAAATCAGATACCTTTTGAAAGAATCAACCCTGAATGGTACTGAACTTCTGGGAAATCTGTAAACCATAATGCATTCCTGCCCTGAATGGCTAATTTGCTACCCATTCTGTAAAAAACACTGTCCCTCTCCGTAATGATCAAAAAATACGCAATTAGACTTCAGGGAGTCACAATTACAGGAGGAGCCTGGGATTCTGAGACAGTAAAATTTTCTTCATTTTGGGACTGAACCTTATTCTCAGTAGCAATTTTCTAACCATGCAAGATAACCACCTTGATCTAATGTAAGTATTGCAAATACATGTCCATTCCTCTCATTTTTTAATCCTATAAAGAAGGTCCATATACTTTTAAACTGAAAGACTTTTCTACTGAATAAATAATAGCTGACCTAGTGAAAGAAGTGGTCACATTTTAGAGACCTGTCATCTTCTCAGTTAATGACTCAATGTCTCTTATTACCCTCAACTAGTTTAACAAAGTGGATTCTATGCCTAATCAATAATGGAAAATGTTCCATTTGATTTCAGAGGCTGATCTAGGTTTCACAGAAGCTTGATTATTACAGTGCTACAATAAGGGATGCTCAGACTACCACAGCAGAAATTACAAAGAGTAGGGAATTTACTCAGTCTATAATGAAATGACAGACTTCAGTACAGGAATAAATTACTAAGTACCTATCATGCTACCAGAGCATCCTGCCTTGCCACTCAGGCCAGTCTCTCAGGGAATGCCCTGGGTAAGTTCAAGAGGTCAGTTTCAAAATTCCAAAGAAATGAAAACGTTTTGCTCCTACCTTAAAATGTTTATTCTTAAGAGATCTGTTTTAAGAGATTGCTCAACTGACTGGAAACCACAATACTCTTTATCAAACCAATCATCTGGTCTCAGGACCCCTCTAAATCAATGATCCTTGGATAACATACATTAAGACCTTATGGGACTGAACACTAATTTAAACTTAGATTTCATTTCTTGTGTCATCTCAAAATTTGAGTGCAAAGGTAATTTTTTCTTTCCACAGTTATATTTTTACTTTCAAGTGACTGAAGAATAAATTTCTACAGAACTAATTTGGAAAATGACTGATTATGTAAGAAATACCAATACTGGTTAATCAATTCCACCAAATATCCATGCTCCAAAACATAGTAATGAGGGAGAACAACTTTTACTTTAAACACTTCTATGAAGTTTACAGTCTGTTTCATTTTTTAACTAAAAAATGCAAATTTATATTGTACATGCTTCACTAATCATGAAGCAATCATTTAAAAATACAATTGTGTATTAAACGACACAAATGAAATTTCTAAGAATTAAAAAAATTACATGCAATTAATTAATCAAGTATTAGGCATCTAGTATCTAGCACTGTGCTAGCTGATGTGCTTTGTAAAAATTAAGTAGCATCAACTGAAAACAAACTAACATTTCCCTGACAATATTATTATTATAAACACTAGAATTAAACCAAATTTCACAGCTCAAGGTAACTCATCCAATGTTCAACACAGAAGAACAGCTGAGTCAACCAAAAAACTATCCCTTCAAAGGAATATAATGCAGCCAAAAAAAATTGTTTACCAAAAGCATAACATAAATTGGAAAATATTCGTTTTTTTTTAAGATTTTATTTATTTATTTGACAGAGAGAGACACAGCAAGAAAGGGAACACAAGCAGGGGGAGTGGGAGAGGGAGAAGCAGGCTCCCCACTGAGCAGGGAGCCCGATGTGGGACTTGATCCCAGGATCCTGGGATCATGACCTGAGCCGAAGGCAGACGCTTAACTGACTGAGCCACCCAGGTGTCCCTGGAAAATATTCTTGGTATTACGTTAAAAGTGTAAGATAAAAACATATATTTTCTGATAACAATGGAGTAAAACAAACAAAAACTTAGAGGGAAAGAAAGCCTGGTGGGGTATGTACTGATATTAACAGTGGCAATTTCTGGTTGGTAGGATAATGCATGATTTCTTTCTTTTTTCAATTATATAATATTTCCTAAATTTTTTATGAATGTGTGTTGCTTTAGTTTTTTAAGTAGGCTCCATGCCCAGCGTGGAGCCCAACGTGGGGCTTGAACTCATGACCCTGAAATCGAGACCTGAGATCAAGAGTCAGACACTTAACTGACAGAGCCACCCAGGCATCCCAGGTGTGTGTGTTGCTTTATAATTTATATACTACTTACAATTCCTCCAAGGCCCCAGTCCATATTCACAACTCACAACTTAGCCAGTCCATCTCTTCTGAATACCCTCTTCTCTCTTTCCACCCTTAAGCTAATTGGTTTTTGTAGCTTTTCTAGGCCTTTCCCAGACCTTTTTCTGTCAGAAGTATTGGTCCATTCATATATTCTTCCAAAGTACTTTGTTCCCACTCTAAACAACACTTTCCATATTACAGTTAAGTATTTACATGTTCATTCCCAAGTGGACTATGAGTTCCTTATGGGAAACATACATAGCTTACTAGTCTATACTTACAAATGACATTAATAGCTTGAAATATTGATTTAGGTAGGCATACACGAGGATGGAAGCCATATTTTATCAACTCAGATCTGACTATGCTAGGGTCCATAGTCCATCTGACTATGACTATGGCTCAGTCCACTGAGCGTCCAGCTCTTGGTTTTGGCTCAGTCAGGATCTCGGGGTTGTGAGATCAAGCCCCACATCAGGCTCCCCACTCAACACAGAGTCTGCTTGGGATTCTTCCCCTCCCTCGCCCTCCCCTTCTGCTCCTCCCCCCTCCTTCACCGCTTGCACACGTGCACACACTCTCTCTAAAATCAATCAATCAATCAAATCTTAAAAAAAAAAAAAGATCTGACTATGATAAACTTTTCCTGGGCAGAGACTCAGTATCTTTCTAAAATTTCTTTCACAAGGGGAGTTAGTTGGGTAAGAGAACAATGAATTGTTGTGAACCCTTAAGTTACTACTATTAAAACAAGAGGGTTGGGAGAATCGAGGCAATGTTAAAGGGTACAAATTTGCAAGTAGAAGATGAATAAATTCTGGAAATCTAATGCACACCATAGTGATCAGAGTCAACAATACTCTAATATATACTTTGGAGTGAAAGACTAGATCCTAAATATTCTCACCACAAAAAAGTGATAATTATGTGATATGATTGAGGCGTTAGCTTTGGTAATCATGTTGCAACATGTATATGCATCAAATCAACATGCTGTACACCTTAAACTTATACAATATTATACATCAATATATCTCAATAAAGAAAAACATGAGTTTATTCATCTCATTAAATAGAAAAACTCATTTTTTGTCCTCACATGTAGTAACATTATTTTCCCCAGTAGATTAATTTCAACAAATAAGTGCTCTCAAATACTAAATGTACACCTTATTTTTCAAACTGAAAAGTGACTGACAGACTTTAATATCTCTGACTCAGGGGCGCCTGGGTGGCTCAGTCATTAAGCGTCTGCCTTCAGCTCAGGTCAGGATCCCAGGGTCCTGGGATTGAGCCCTGCACTGGGCTCCCTGCTCATCAGGAAGCCTGCTTCTCCCTCTCCCCCTGCTTGTTCCCTCTCTCACTGTCTCTCTGTCAAATAAACAAAATCTTTTTTAAAAAGTAGTATCTCTGGCTCAATATGGATATAATGAACAGTGGACTAAACCAAAAGGTAAGAAATGGTCCCAATATTTCTATTAAGGTCGACTAGATGAATAACGATGCCACCAATTTTAGCAGAAACATACAAGATGTGGGTTTTGAGTTCAGTGTTCGACATGTGTAGTTGAGGTCTCCAAAGGGATATTCAATTATATTAAACATTAGGCCTAAAATAATTTTAGATTTGAAAAAGGGCACAATAGACTTTCTTTAACATTAATGTGATAATTAAAAAACAAGAGGCTCATTGTTTTTATTTTTCTTTTTATTAAGAATTTTTAGGAGTTAGAATTACAACAAATGCAATCTTTCCATGTTTTGGCCCTTAATGTTAAGTCCTACTTTCAATCTACAACTTACCTGAAGACAATGAGCCCTTCTGATGTGATGCATGCTGCAACTGGAGAATATGAAAGCAGTCGTTTAAGCAGTTCATAGTTGCCATGGAAGTAGCTTTGAGCATTAAGAGATCCTGGTCCAAGGAACTAAGATGGCCCGAAGCAGGAAGGCATTCAATTCGCCTAATTAAGTCTCTCTGTTGTCCTTCAGCATGAGACATCATCTAAGGAAAACAACAGTTCTGTGTGTCCCACCCATGATTTCTGTGTATCATATATACATACAGTTCCCATTTTAATTACCATATTCAGCTTCTGAGCCATTTTTAGGATATATTAGGCTTGGAAATCTATTTTATGTTTGGCTAGTCTCAATTAATGAGCACTATTTAATAGTGCTTATCAATTGTGCAAAAAATGGTGATCTTTGGCAGCTGCACTTTTTCTTTAAAAGCAACAAAGCTCAAAAGCCTTGACAAACGTTTTATTAACAGTATACATTTGTACAAGTCATTAAAAGAACATTCTGATCATCTTCAATAGCAGCATTAAGTATTTCATTATGAAGTAAAATTAGTTCCCAGTCTGGGCTCTTAACCTCTTTCTTCTCAGCACCTCTGGTCAGGCTCAATTTGAACATACACTAAGAACATGATGGTTCTCCTGCTTCCTTTTCTCAAATCTAACTTTCTGGTCCCATTAGCCTGATTGTGCAGCAAATACTGGATATAAGCTTTTCAGGTTAAAAGAGTTTGATACACTCTGCTTCGATCAAGAACTCTGTCCACTTTTCCTAAGAGAGCCAATAGAATAACAACACTTGATAAGCAACCCAATATTTTTAAATGAAAACTGAATTTATTATGCTTAATTACTCAATTGTGAGCAGAAGGTTCTCAGACTGCCTATCTTTTAGACACTATTTTAATTCATCTATAATGGAAAGACTCTTTTAGCTTTCAGAGGCACTGTTCCAGGTGATTTTTAATACAGTTCATCAGCGGGCTACGGAAAGAGAGATGCAAATATCCTACCAAACAAATCAAGTGCGTAGTACACGAAATAGCCCTTGAAAACATGTCATAGCAATGGATCAAACATTCACCTGTATCAGAAAAAAAGGTTTCTAAATGAAAAGTGTGGATATGAAGATATCTATATGTACACATTTATACATGGATATATGTGTGTGCTTTGTGTGTGTAAAATATTTTGTATACAAATGTTAGGACTAACTTCCAGTAATCCAAACTTATGAATAGTACAACCACTCTTGCCAACAGTTAGGCAATGTTTACTAGAGTTAAATAATTTATAATCTATGATCGAACAATTATACTCTTAGATATGTAACCAACAGGTATGTATAAATGTGTTCAGCCTCACCCGCCAACCTCTAGAGAGTAGAGGGGCTAGCGGATGAATTAATCACCAACAGGCAATGATTCAGTCAATCATGCCTACCTAATGAAGCCTCCATAAAAACCCCGAAAGAGGAGGTTCAGAGAGCTTCTGGTTGGTGAACACTTGGAGGCACTGGGAAGGTGGTACAACCAGAAAGGGCATGGAAGCTCCACGCCTTTCCCCCCTTCTATCTGTCTGTTCCTGAATTCTTTAGAGCAGGTCAGAGGCACAAGTGACAGCATCGACTTGCAGCTGGTGTCTAAAGTGGGGGCAGTCTGTGGGATCTGACACTATCTCAGATACACAGTGCTGAAACTGACTTAAACTGTAGGACAGGCAGCTGGTGTCCACAGAGAATTAGAGAATTGCTGGGCGGTGGAAAAACTCCAACAGTTGGTGAGCAGAGTACAGAACTGTAGAGTGTTATAGCAGAGCAGAGGAGAAACATAGGAGAGTTAGACTTGGAGGTATGTGGTAGACATCCCAAAAATTAAAAAAACAAGCCTATCACCTCAAAACAAGCCAAAAGTATTTACTGCCAATTATAAAATCTGAGCTTTAAAATGAAAAGAATTTTGGGAAACCTTTATCTGTTACCATAATCTTGACAACTTCCCAATACTGAAAGGCTTTTCTAATGAGATTGGTGAGGACGTTAAAGAATGGGAATTTTCGATGTTGCATGTTAAATAGATCACCATCTGCAAGACTTGCCTAACTCTGTGAGATGATATTTTGACTAATGCATGGTGTTACAAAATCATGCATAGATTAAAGATACATTCCAAGTGCAAGACAGACCAACAGATTTTCATGTAACAGAACATGAAAAGTTCATGGATATATATTAGATTCCACACTGCATCTAACATTTACAAAACTGCTACTATTAAGTTTTCGTGCAGTACCAAAGAAGAATAACCACAATTATCTGAAAAGGCAATTAAAATATTCCTCTACTTTCCAATCACATACCTGTGTGAGGCCCCTCACTACATAGACACCTATTAGCTCTACCAAATTTAACTCGGGAATATTTAGAACCTAACAACTACATCCTTTATTAACTAGAATTATTTAGTACTCAATTTGAAAAAAAACAGGGAAATGGTGAGATAAGGCAACATCAAGGATTTAACTGTTCTATTTTTGCATATGTTTGAAATTGTCTATACAAAACTTTTTTTTTTTTAAATCACTTGTTTGGCCACATAGTCTTCCTAATAGGCTTAAAAACCCTTTTGATCATAAATGTTACATCAAAGGAGTCTGTATTTTTACTTGAGAAATGAAAGATATAGACTGAAAAATGAAAGTGTACCTAGGAAACTTAGGACACCACAGAAAAGAAACTTAGGACATCACATATAACCAGGGAATCTTTATGACTTAAAATTTATCTCAGCATAGTAGACAGAAAACATTTGAGGGTCCCAGAAGACACAACAGGATTTCAACTTTTTTTGTGACAAAACCAAGCAAGTTAGGTCATTTTGGCATTTTAATTTGACTTCAATTCATACTTACTTCTCTGACTTCCACAAGATGGTCTGGAGGTAAGTGAGCTCTTTTGTTCACTGATTGTAGTTTGGAATGTCCAACATTAAAAAAAGAAATGGCATTTTGACTTGGTCTCCTCTGGGATATAGGAGAATTACCACTAGATGCAAGTGAGAAGCTTCGTGATTTCAGAGGGGGATTATTCTATTAGACAAACAAGGAAAATCATTTGTTTTCCAAAATTTTGGTTAACCCTCACCTATTATAAATACACTTTATGCCTACACATGAACTGTTTTAAAAATTAAATTAACCTCAGAATTGACTACAAGAACATTTCTGAAAAATGCTAAAATTTAAGGCACTCAAAGTTTAAACATTTGACACATCCAACAGTAAAGTTATAATTTATTTAGAAAATTGATTACAGGTTTGTGCTGTCGAGAATATTTTTTCACATTTTACAAATATTAGAACAAGAAATTTCTAATTTCAGATTTTTAAATACCATGACTAAAGCAAAGATATTCAATATAATACATTTTCTAATTTAACTAGCAAGTATCTTTGGAACAAACTAGTACTTTCTGATCACTGCCAATGACTACAATCTTACAGTAGGAGTAAAGCTTTTGTGATGAACTTCCTGAAGATTGGGCAGTAGGCCTAAATCACAAATAACTTTTAAAATTCACTTACGGGGGAAAAAGACTAGGAAAAACATTTTGGGGGGCGCCTGGGTGGCTCAGTCGTTAAGCGTCTGCCTTTGGCTCAAGTCATGATCCCAGGGTCCTGGGATCGAGCCCCACATTGGGCTCCCTGCTCTGTGGGGAAGCCTGCTTCTGCCTCTCCCACTCCCCCCTGCTTTTGTTCCCTCTCTTGCTGTGTCTCTCTCTGTCAAATAAATAAATAAAATCTTAAAAAAAAAAATTTTTTTTTTAAAAAGTCAAGCTATCACCTATGCATACCTAGGTATGGAATCCTTCAACTATGCTGCCCAGATACTAGTTTTTAGGTATCTCTAACCTCAGATTTCAAGTAATGAGACCATCCTCTCCACCTTAAAAAATAAAAAAAATTCCAAAGAAGATATACAAATGATCAATAAACATATGGAAAGATCCTCAACATTATTAGTCATTAGAGAAATGAAATCACTTCACATATACCAGGATGCCTATTACAATTAAAAAGGGGAGGGCAGTAACAGGTGCTGGTAGGATGTGGGAAAACTGAAACCCTCAGACACTGCTGGTGGGAATGTGAAATGGTTCAGTCACTCTGGAAGACAGTCTGACAACTTCTCAAAAAGTTAAACAGAGAACCACCATATGACTCAGTAATTCCACACCTAAATACACACCTCAGTGAAATCATGTGTTCACACAAAAACCTAGACACAAATGTTATTTTTTTTTTTTTAAAGATTTTTATTTTATTTATTTGAGACAGAGAGAATGAGAGAGAGAGAGCACATGAGAGTGGGGAGGGTCAGAGGGAGAAGCAGGCTCCCCGCTGAGCCGGGAGCCCGATGTGGGACTCGATCCCAGGACTCCGGGATCATGACCTGAGCCGAAGGCAGTCGCTTAACCAACTGAGCCACCCAGGCGCCCTAGACACAAATGTTATTAATAGCCACAAAATGGAAACAACCCAAATGTCCACCAACTGATGAATGGATAAACAACATGTGGCGTATCCATATGATGGAATATTATTTGGCCATAAAAAGGAATAAAATGATACATAAAATGACATGAATGAACCTTGAAAGTATTATGTGTACGTAAAAGACTAAAGAACAAGTAAAACTGGACATTTAATAAAATTTGCTTCTAACTCTGAAAAAAATTATGTGAAGTATAAAAAGCCAGACACAAAAAATCACGTATTGTTATGATTCTATTTATATAAAAGGCCCAGAATGGACAAACCCATAGGAATAGAAAATGGATTAGCATTTGCCAGGAGCCTGGAAAGGGGAGAATGCGAGTGACTGCTCATAGATATGGGTGTTTTGGAGGGTGATGAAAATGTTCTGGAATTAGAGAGTTGCGATTGTTGCACAATCTTGTGTATATATTAAAATCAATGGAATTGCACACTTTTTTTTTTTTTTAAAGATTTTATTTATTTATTTGACAGAGAGAGACACAGCGAGAGAGGGAACACAAGCAGGGGAGGTGGGAGAGGGAGAAGCAGGCCTCCCGCCAAGCAGGGAGCCCGACGTGGGGCTCGATCCCAGGACTCTGGGATCATGACCTGAGCCGAAGGCAGACGCCCAACGACTGAGCCACCCAGGCGCCCCTGGAATTGCACACTTTAAAAGGGTAAATTTTATGGTATATAAATAGTCTTGCAATTTAAGAATATAAGCAAATAAAACATTCTTTTCGCCCTTTTTATGCACTAATATCATATATGAGTCCACATACCTTTCCAATAGCTTCAGTGTGATGCTGTGTACATATCTGAAGTCTGCTAACCCAGTGTTGTCGTTCTTTAGCATCTGTGGCTGATAAAAAGAATACAAAAGTTATTCGCTTTTATATTTATTTTTGGAATACAATTAACTGTCTACAGCATGAAGAACAGATAGATAATTGAAAACCAGGAATTGGTCCTACTCTCCCTAGAGTAAATGTCCCCTACTGGAGGGAGGGAGAAAAAAGGCCCAAGCGTCAACTTTGTTAGGTAACACCGTAGCTGGATATGGATATTTCAGAAGGAGGATAAATTACATGCAGCTAGGCAGGATATAAGACTTGACGTGTCTTAAGTTTGTCACAAAAATATGCTCTTACTTAAAGAAATAACCTTTATTAAGCATTTAATGTGTACTCACTATTTTCAGATCTCTTGCAGCATGCTCAGTTAGGATTACCATTATATTTTATGTGCATTAATTAAACAAAAAACACGAATTAAATTTACCTAAACAAAAGTTATACTTTTTAAATGAATATGAACATTTTAATAAATCCCAGCTATGTATATTAGTTACTAGAAACTTCAAAGAGGGCATGTAAACCAAATCAAGAAAAGGGGTAAAATACAAGGCAGACATAAAAAATACCATTTAAAGAAGCTATGTTTTTGTATTTTTCAGTAATCAGGGTTTGTCTACACAAATATTTTAAAGGGGCCAATTGTAAACACTTGTTCATTGTGCCACTTGAGAAAGCTTACTTATTAAAACAGATTTCATAAATTCATAAGCAATTCTAAGATTTTAGAATATCATATCTACATATCAATGACAGTAGTTTCTGTTTCCAAAACTCAAATGAAGGCAGGGAAGTACATCAACTTCTCAAGGGAAGAAGAAAATCATACTATTAATTCTTATATCTCGATCATACCTCTGAGTTTATACTGTTCCCCACTGGCAGCATTTACAGTGAAGGTGTGAGAGTCCTCATCACTAGGTGATATTACAGCTCCTGCAAGCTGCAAAGTACCTCTGGGTTTTTGATTTCTAGACTGTTCATTCACAAAGTACTCCAATAACCCAGCTTCATTGTTTAAAACAAAAAACCTGTAATGATTCAAAAAGAAAGTCATAATTTTTAAACATTCCCTGTAGTCAAACTAAAGCAAACTAAATTTCAATCACATTTTGGAGTTCTTGCTATTAAAAAAATAAAATTCAAGGGGTGCATGGGTGGTTCAGTCGGTTAAGCATCTGACCCTTGATTTTGGCTCAGGTCATGACCTCAGACTGGTGAGATCCTCTCTTTCTCCCTCTCCCTCTGCCACCACCCACCCCCTCTCGCTCTCTAATAAATAAATAAACAAACAAATAAATAAAATTCAAAAGCTGTTCAAGAAGTACTTGGAAACATGAGGCCGAATTTCCTAGCAATAAAGCTTATTGAAAAATTGAATGAATTTAATAAATGACATAAAACCTTGAGCTGAAGTAGAGGTACTTAATAGGGAAGAGGCATACCAGATAATGCAAAAAGGAAACAAAGATAGAGTTTCCTTTCAGAGGAAAAGTTCTCTCTCTCCAGAATTCATTAACAAGGAAGGTAAATAGCCCAAAGACAAATGGTAGTGAGAATTTTTATTTAAAATTCACTGGAAACAAATCAAAACATGAACTCTGAGGATAACTAAATGCTGGGTAAGGAATGAGTCTGATTTAAGATTTAATCAGTGAAATATACAATGAGAATAATGTCAGGGTAGAAAGATTTTGTGAATGTATCATTAAATAGGTCACAACTAACGATTACTTATCCTGTTTAAAAATGTAAAAGCTGCAACTGGAGATGGAGAAACATAGGAACTTGAAACTAAATGATGAAACACTGATACACTTTGGAAAAGAATTTGATGTTATGATTTGGTTCCAGATTAATTACTTTATTCAGATTCCAATTTAAGTAATTGAATAGTTCTTTTAAAAAAAATTTAAAAAGTTTCAATTTAAAAAAAATAATGTTCGGGTTTGGAGCAGTTTGGCATTTTATGTTTCTGAGTTCTAGAACATTGGACCGTAAGACGGAGTTCAAGGTCCTAGAAGATACTGTCTTAAGCAACAGGCAACCATATCATATCAAACTGGGAGAAAATGGAAATCAGCTTTCTCTTCAAGGAAAACTGCTGAGAAGCAAGCAAAATTTGAAAGTGGTTGCCTGAAAAGGGAGATGGGAAAGCAAAGAACTATTGTTTTTCTTGTTCATCTTTTAGCATGCTTCTGATTTTTAAAATTACGTTCCCATATTTTAATTTTAAAAATTAGGATTTTCTTTCATTTCATTCATTACTAGAAGAATTATACACTTTTTCATGTGTTTACTGACCACCCATAGTTCTACTTAGTGAACTGCTCATCACATTTTGCCCATTTTTAGTAGGGTTTTTTTTTTTTTAAGATTTGATTTATTTATTTGACAGAGAGAGACACAGCGAGAGAGGGAACACAAGCAGGGGGAATGGGAGAGGGAGAAGCAGGCTCCCGTAGAGCAGGGAGCCTGATACGACCCGAGCCGAAGGCAGACGCTTAACGACTAAGCCACCCAGACGCCTTTAATAGGGTTATCTTTATTTTCCAAAATATTTGAAGAGATTCTTTGAATTACCACAAGATAGTCACTGACATCATCTTCAATTTCTAAAACATAAGCATAAAACACAAAATGCACATATGAATCTGCTATGGTCTGAATGTGTGCCCCACAAATTCATTATGTTGAAATCCTAACTCCTAAGGTAACAGTATTAAGAGACAGGGCCTTTGGGAGGTGTTTAGGTCATGAGGGCAGAACCCTCAGGAATGAGATTACTGCCCTTGTAAGAGAGACCCAAGAGCTCTTCCTTGACCTTTTTTCTACCATGTTCTCACACAACAAGAAGTCTATGACAGGAAGAGGGCCCTTACCTAACAACGCTGGCACCATGATCTTGAACTTCCAACCTCCACAACTGTGAGAAATGTTTATTAGCTACCCAGTCTGTAGTATTTTGTTATAGCAGCCCTAATGGACTAAGCAATGAATCTACTACAAAAAAATTCATCAAATAAACAGAAGGGGTGGGTTAGTATGAAAGCCATCTCATCAAGATACTAAAAACCACTGAGTTGTACACTTTAAGTGGGCAAATTGTATGGATTGTGCATTATATTTCAATAAGGCTGTTAAGAAAAAGAACAAACAAACAAAAATGGAAGGAAAGAAATCTCTTTCCACTGTTCTAAATGTAAGTACAATTCATCTCAAACAGACAAAGAAAATTTAGACAAACAATATGTTTGAAAATCTCAAGTTTGCTGTGAGCACATATTTCTTATCCCAAAAGTATTACCACAAATTTATAATACAGGAGGCACTCACCTAAATATACAGAAAATAATGGTGAGGAGGGATTGGTGAAGTCATAGAAATAACCAATAACTGAACAGCATGGTGTCTATAGTTACTAACACTGTACAGCAAATTTGAAAGTTGCTAAGAGTAGATCTTAAAAGTTCTCATCACAAGAAAAAAATTTTTGTAATTATGTATGATGACAGATGTTAGCTAGACTTATTGTAGTCATCATTTCATAATGTATAGAGATATCAAATCTGTTGTATGTTGTATACCTGAAACTAAGTATGTTGTAATTATACCTCACACAAAAAATGAGCCAATAACTGATCATCTTTTTTTTTTTTTGAAGATTTTATTTATTTGACAGAGAGAGACACAGCAAGAGAGGGAACACAAGCAGAGGGAGTGGGAGAGGGAGAAGCAGGCTTCCCATTGATCAAGGAGCCCGATGTGGGGCTCAATCCCAGGACCCTGGGATCATGACCTGAGCCAAAGGCAGACGCTTAATGACTGAACTACCCAGGCACCCTGATCATCTTTTTAATACCAAGATGATACTATGGGTCCATTGCAATAAGACAGCACTTTGGGCTATCTTTCATTATACGTGGATTAATCCAAATATTCTTCCTTTATCCCTTTTATGAAGAGAAATTTTACAAAATGTATAGTTTGGAGATAGAAAGACAATCCACATAATGAGGAAACTTAACAAAGCCATTTTGCCCAGAAGGGTAGCAGACTCTTGATGGAAGCATTCTGAACAAGTTGGCCTAGCCAATAAATGAAGAAAATGTAGAAATAAAGGTTAAATGTAACAGGGAAACAAGATTCATCATGAACCTTCACATGAAGAAAATTCAGTTAAGTTGTTAAAAGAAAATGCTGTTACAATTGGCAAATAACTGCTTATTTTTTGCAATTTCAAAATAACAGACTGTCAATTTGGGGAAAGGACCAATCTTTGAAATAACCCACAACTTAAAGTTAAATAGCATCAAAATGCAACTTTAATCTAAAAATATTATGACTTGGGGCGCCTGGGTGGCTCAGTTGGTCAAGCGACTGCCTTCGGCTCAGGTCATGATCCCGGAGTCCTGGGATCGAGTCCCACATCGGGCTCCCGGCTCAGCAGGGAGCCTGCTTCTCCCTCTGACCCTCTCCCCTCTCATGCTGTTTCTCTCTCCCTCTCTCTCGCTCTCTAATAAATAAAGAAAATCTTTTAAAAAATAAATAAAAATATTTTGACTTGGAAGTGTATCTTACAATGACAAAAATAAATTTGAGAAGATTTTTGGGAGGAAAGGCAACTATGTGCCATATTCTGGCCATCCCAGGATTTTAATGTTCTGTATCTACAGACTTCTAAGCCAGATGGAAAGCAATCTCACCTTCAGGAATTAGAAGTTAAAGTGGCAGGAAGTGGGTTCAGGAGAGGGTCTTGCTGTTCTGTACTTTGCTAGCCTACCACATTCCAGAGCAAGCAGTTATTTATACAGCATGCCCATGGTGGACTTCTCCAAGCTGCTTCAAGTTGACCTTAGTCAAAACAGAAATGGATTGGAGGGAAATGGTCTTGGATTGGAGGGAAATGGTCTTGGACTGGAGGGAAATGGTCTTGAATATCTGCTCTTATTACTTAAGCTACACCTGCAGCATATGGACAAGAGTGGGTAGGCATGCCAAAGAAACTGAGCAACTAAGCCGAGGGTCCTTAAACATGGTCTTAACCTTTCTGTTCACCTTTGATCATTCAATCTACATGTTTCATGCTGAGGACCCAGTATATCTCTGCTGTACTACAGGACCTCCAGCCCAGTTGACATAAAATAAAAATGGAAGATGGAAGTTTTTTTTTAAGTGGGGCTACAGTTTGGGCGCCTGGGTGGCTTAGTGAGTTAAGCATCCAACTCTTGGTTTCAGCTCAGGTCATATTCTCAGGGTCGTGGGATCCAGTCCCATGTCAGACTCTGCGCTCCCCAAAGTCTGCTTGAGATTCTCTCCCTCTCCCTCTGCCCCTCCCCCAGCTCATGCGCATGTGCTCTCTTTCTCTCTCAAATAAATAAAATCTTTAACAAAATAACAATAAAGTGGGTGTACAGCAAACTGACAAAGTGAGACCTCTTTCTGATGGGGTAAGTTGGTAAAAGGTTCTGTGTTCTCTCAGAGCAAACAGGGATGAGTTTACAAGCACTTTCTAGTGCTGCTAAAAACTGGTCTCTTACACAGCTGGAGGGATTATGTCAGGACAGGCAGTGCCTCTCCCTACCCTAGACTGTTCGCTTGGATCTGCTAACTCCAGACAACCAGTGGCCAATGGATCTTTTTGGTGGGCTCCCTCATGCAATGATAAACACCTGCCACTTCTTCCCATGGTCTCAAGTTGCCACTCACCTGAAATGTCATCTTGAAATTATACTAAATTTTGTTTATTTATTTTAAAAAGATTTTATTTATTTATTTGACAGAGAGAGACACAGCGAGAGAGGGAACACAAGCAAGGCGAGTGGGAGAGGGAGGAGCAGGGAGCCCAATGCGGGGCTCGAATCCCAGGCCCCTGGGATCATGACCCGAGCCGAAGGCAGATGCCCAATGACTGAGCCACCCAGGCACCCTATGCTAAATTTTATGTGTTTGTGTATGTTTTGGAGCTTTCTTACCTTGTTCCCCTTCTGAGAGTTTCTCAGTATTATTCAATATTATATAAATGACAATT